AAGTTGACTTTGACTGAAAGCTGGGATTCTCAGCCTTGAGCTATCAAGTGGAGTGACAGAAAGGAAATGCTGCAGTGAGTGACTCCCTGGGCAGGTCGCTCTGCAGGTCCAGCAAAGGAAAAGGATTAAAGACCATGAGACCACTAGACACATCCTCTTCACCAGCTGACCTCATTTTGGGTCAGACCAGGGGACTCTGCTGAGGCTGCAAAGACAAATTTTTCCCTTTCTCAGCTACAGTTGTTCTTCAGAGAGAGTCTGTAGACTAGATCATTCTGTACATCTATCACCAGACATCCCTTACAAATTTAACTACATCCTGTAATTTTAGAGGATGCAAATGCATCAATATCCAGATTGTAAGTCTCTGTTTCAGCCTTTTTAACCAAGGAAGATAACCAAAAAAGAAAAATTCTAGATCCACTTTGAACTATTTGAACCATTTGTTCTCTGTGAAGACCATCTTCAGAAGCAAAAGCTGCAAGTATTTTTCTCTTTCTTTCTCACATGACCCACAAGACACTCCAATAAACAAAATCCAAGGTTTCCACTCAAAACAAAAGATTGTATTAAAAAAGAAATAAAAACTAGATTTCTTTTAGGCCTAGACTCTGTGCCAGTTTCTCATACTTGTAGGAATAATTTCAACACCAGTGAAGTAAATGTTAACCACCCAAAACAAACTGTCTTTTTATCTTAATTTATATTTTTTAACATTTAAAAGTTGTTTCATCTCTTCAGTAAGAAGCATGCTAAAGTAGAAAAGGAACTCAGAAAACAGAAAGCTGGAAAGAGCTTATATTTTCATCATAAAAACATACCTTTTTTTTTTTATTTGGTTGGAATCAATATTGAAATGAGATTCCTACCAGAAAATAGCTTTTTCAGGCACACTAAATATCCCTTGGTTCAGCAGAATATTTAATCCCCTTGGATCAGGCACTTGGATTTTCTTAGATCATGCTGAGATAACAGCATTCTGCTGTGTTCTGGCACCATAAAATCCTTGCTTATGAAAATAAAAGAAAAATACGGCCTCTCTGGGAACATACATCTCTGAATTACTTTTTTCCATAGTTTATACATTGTAGTTTCAAAATCAATTTTTACACAGATATACCACATTCTCTTTATGACTCATGGCAAAAGCTCTCCCCCACCATTTTACATGGGCCAAGTGTACACAGGACTCTTCAAAATGATGATCCTTTCACAATCTTGGCTCAGACTCCAGCTCACGCTGGGCAAGTGCCAACGAGTAAGTGGAGTCAAACCCCCTCCAACAGCACCATCTAGTGAGAAGAAGAGAAAATAAACACATGCAAATTTAAACAGTTTTCACTGCATTCTGGAAACTAACAAAAGGCCAATTCTCTCCTAATCTCCCATTACAACTGCATTTAGGTATAGCTTTCATCAAGGCTCTTTGCCTGGTGAAGTGTGGTGACAAGTAGAGAAAGATTCAGCAACTAATTGTAAGCTTTTTGTCTAAAACTGGAACACTGCTTGGAACACAAATAAACTTGCTCTTGTTTTTATTTTTTCAGTGTCAGGCTTGCATTTTTCTTGTTGTTATGAAAAATAGAAGCATTTTTTAATGCTTTAAAAATATTGATAACATCTGTTTCCTGCTGTGGTAGTGGGAGGTGATATAAGACAAGCAGCTCCAGAATAAAATAAAAATAATATATACATATAATCTTCACAACTTTTTTAGCTTTTATTTTCATATAATTGTAATATCTTGTATGACTATATTACTGAAGCATGAAATTCTTATTCAGGAAAGAGGGCACACTCAGCTTCTATTTGTAACTTTAATGTGACCAGGCTCCCTAGCTTCAAAAAGACTGTCTGCTGAAAGTATGTAGGTGCTTATATCTTTTACATGGTCAGAGCCAAATACTTTGGCTATGTGGAGGAAATAAAGCAGTATAGCTCTTAATTGTGTTTTTAATGGTCTTGTTTAAATAGCTTTTCAATCAGGAGGAACAGATTCTGTTCTTTTCCCGACGTGCATCCTCAGTGCCATGAAACTCACATGGGCTATAGAAGGGATTCTGCAACAACAGTATTTTGCAGATTACATACACAAACACACCCACCCACCCTCACACACGTGCTTTTACAGTTATGCCATCTCATTTTCAAGATTAATCAGATTTACAATGTCCATGCAGTAAGCCTGTTTAATCAGACTTGCTCTAGGGGCTGTTCAGATCAGCATTACCCACGTGGTAACTCTGAGCACTCATTTTCATTCAGCAGGATTCTGTCATTTCTTGCATTTCCAGACCTATGGCTGTCTGGTCAAAGCCTCCCCCTGCCCCACAAAATACAAGAAGTCCATAAGTCTCAAGTAGGCAAAATTTCAAATCACTACAGTGAATATTTGGTAACACTATCTCAGCCTTATATTTGATGCACTACAAAGCATAACTCCTTTAGAGATAATTCTACCCTAGACAGGAAATTATATCCAAATAAAAGGCAATCTGCTCTTGACAATACAGCAGTAATTTTCCCTTTGGAAGGCTGAGAAAGAAAAGTGGGCTCAATTTTACAATCTTCAAAAGAAAGAGTTAAAGGTCTCTAAGCATTAGTTCAATTATTTCGATTTCACGCACTTGGGCAGTAAAACTCAAATTTCATGGGATTACTTGAGGCCTCAAACTGCAAACTCCACGTGACCAAAGTTTCCTTCATCCTCACTGCCCAGTTAAGCCCAAGAAAAAGCCTTCTTCAGGATTCCCATACTCCTCCTGGTAGTTTGCTGGTACACTGCTGCTGCTCCTTTGACCTTTCTTTGTCTTAGTATTAGTTTGTAAAACAAGTTGCTTGCCCTTCTTTGCTTACTTACAATGACAATGCTACCTACTGGAATTGTCTGGGTCCAAATTAAAACTATTATTGTTGAATATTTAAAAATCCTTCTACAAACACAACAGAGAAACTAATTCCTACTGCAGAGGAGTAGGAAGAATGCTCTCCCCAGCTTTCATGTCTCCTTACAGAACCATTTGGGTTGGAAGCTTGGACTATGCTTTCTCCTGTTTTGTGTTTTAATCTCCATATGCTATTACACTTTATTTTTCCTCTTTCTTTGTATTTTGCAGATTCTCTTCAACCAGTCATCTGTGATTAAATCCCCCCACCCCAAGGAATTCAGTTACATCTGATTTTGACAGCTTATTATGCTATCTTGAAATTAAAATCTGTGACAAAAATAATAGAATAGGAAATTTTACTAGATAGACACCAACAGGAACCAGATTCTAAAATTTATATTTGTGTTTCAAGATGCCACAACTCCTTTGAGAGTTCCAATGAAACTGGACAGAGAATAGAGCACATTGGCCCAATCTACTGCTTTGGACTGATGGATCTGGGTAATCCCCGTAGGTTTCATGAAAGTTACCACAGTTAATCCTTTAGGAAAACAATCTCAGAATATGCCAATAGTGAACAAACAAACAACTGCTTCTTTCCCAACAAAACATGACAATAGGATTTCAATGTTAAAAATTAACCACAGTTTTTCTCATTATATAGAAGAGGAACACTGATTCACCATTCACTGATTCTCTCACTACTTAGAGAGCAAGAGAATACAGAATAGTACAAACACAGAATACATAGCACATATTATATACACTGCATGTAATCCTGAATGCATTGCATGCACATTACACTGACTGTATTACCCAGACAACACGTACTGCACACAGTATGAACAAACAAAATGAGCTCCATGATTTCACAGGGTGGGGGCGGGGAACGAAACCACACTAGTTATGTTGTCACTAGGAGTTATTTCACTGAAGCAACACACAGGTAAAATATTATGATATGGTGCAAAGATGAGTGAGACATTATCACAAGTTAAATTCATCCCAGAAATGAACAGAAGTATCCATAACTACTAGTTATGGATTAAAAAAAAAACAAAACCAAACAGAACAACTTAAATCCTACAAAAAGAGAACTCCAAACCACAAAACAGAAAAGGTGCAGAAATAAATGTACAGAAGCTCTTAGCTGGCACTAACAATGTTACACCTATGAGTTCAAATATCTTACAACTTAGTTAAAAATAATACACCAGACATGAATATACTGCATGTAGAAATAGCGTGATTGACACTAAATTTAATATGCTATATTCTTATTCTTACAGCATTCATATTAGGTATAGAACCTCAGCATATTTAATAGATAAATTGACAATATATCTGGTGCATTCCTACAATCCTGTTTTGAACAAACATTTATATTGCTGGTTAGCATTTTTCAACATAGTGACAGTGTTCTCACAAGTTAAATAATGGTCATTTATTTACAAATACAGAGAAATCTATGATTTAGCAGGGGGTACCCCACAACTGAGGTACAACAAGTTTATAAAATTTTTGGAGGTTTAAAATCATGTCTCTCCAACTTCAAAACTAAGGTACTTCAATGAAATCTAAGGTAGCAGGATAGTAATACTCCTGGAGCATTTGTTGATGCATATCTGTTGCAGCACTAGTGTACTATAAACATGGTGAATATGTTTTCTTTACTGAACGAAAAGAGCATAAGACAGGTAGAGCAAGTTGTCTTAAAGCCAATGAGAATATGTGAGTTTTCCACTTGTGAAACAAAGCTGCATGTGACATCAACTAAAGGAAAGGACTTCCACTTAACTTTTCCCCCACCGTGGTCTGGCCTTCAGTATGGCTGAAAAAAAGAATTAACCCAAACAGTATGAGGGATTCAAGCTTAATCAGAACATCTGTATGTCTGGACACACCACAGATGCACTCAGTAAAGGCCATATCGCGTATGACTTGACTTTTGTGCTACCATGATGTTCGGTGTTTCTGTGGCTTTACAGACTCAGTAGGGAAAAGCAGAAAAGTCTCTCATCATCTAAACCATAAGGAACATTCTGCTTAATGTGGTATTAGCTCAGGAGATCAGAATTTCCACATTAAGAACAAACATGTCCACATACATACCATCCAAAATAACGTCCCTGTAGCAAGAGCTGCATACTGTTCAATTGTAGAAAGCACACTGAAGATAAGGCATATCAGCACAATAAGGAAGCTGTAAATGAAAAGAAATTAAAAAATTAAAATAATGTAATGTAGTGTAGTAAGGATCTATAGGGAGGACAGATAAGTATGGCATTACAAATTATCTATCCACACAGAAGTGTCATTGGTATTGGATTATCTCAAAATACAGCATGTAACTTTTGCATGATCCTGCTTCCTATTGAATAGTTTATTCCTCAGACACTGAGGGTTTGGGTTGGATATATTAAATGAAGGTAAACTATAACACTAGCTTTAGCCTCCCTCTCAGATTTGCTGTTTCCTAGCTCCTCAGGAAATAGCATTCCTTGCTCTTTCCCATTGTAAGGACTACTACTGTGGCTGAATCACCACACAACACCCCCAGCATGTTTCAAATATTTGCCTTTTTGCTGTTCTAAATTCCAATTAACTGCAAAGAGAAATCCCAACTAAGCCAGAGCTTAAGAGGCTCTGCCCACACTATCTTTTATAAACAATTTCTAAAAGGCCCCAAATAAATAAAGTCTAACATCTGGCATTTGAAACACAACCTACATCAGACTCCATTTTTAAATGAAACAAAATTTCACAGCAACTATCAGAGAGAGAGTGGGAACATAAGGATTTGTTCCCTGGTGCCCCTTGCCCAAGCGAGTCATAGAATCATATTGGGCTTGGGTTGGAAGGGACCTTAAAGGTCATCTCATTGCAACCCCCTTGCCATGGGCAGGGTTACCTTCCACTACAACAGGTTGCTCAGAGCCCCATCCAACCTGCTCTTTAGCACTTCCAGGGATGGGGCATCCATAACTTCTCTGGGACACCTGTTTCCATGCCTCAAAACCCTCACCGTAAATTTTTTTTCCCAATATCTAATCTAAACCTGTCCCTTTCAGTTGGAAACTGTTACCCTTGTCCTGTCACTACCTGCCTTTGTAAATAATCTCTCTCCATCTTTCCTGGAGGCCCTCTTCAGGTACTGGAAGGCTGCAGTTTGGTCACCCTGAAGCCCTCTGTTTTCCAGGGTGAACAATCCTAATTCTCTCAACCTTTCCCTGTACAAGAGGTGCTCCATCCCTCTAATCATTTTGGTAGCCCTCCTCTCCACTCGACTTAACAGGCTGATGTCCTTTCTGAGCTGGGGACCCCAGAGCTGGATGCAGCACTCCAGCAATCAACAGGACTTAAAACGTTTGCTTGTTAAGCACAGTGCTGTTTGTTAGGGTTGTTTATCCCAATTCTTTGAGACAAGCAACACCAATCCTTTGCACTCAACAGAAACTTGCTGCAAAATCCAGTAACTAAATCATCCACTCTGTTACAGATCTCTGTGTTAAGGCTGACAAGATAAGCTAGGCTGCTCAATGATCACTTCAAAGCACAGTGCATGCAAGTCCAATGCACACAATGAAAAATGATCACAGAATCATTTAGGTTGGAAAAGACCTCTGAGATGATCAGTTCCAACCTTTGAGATCACCAGGTTCAACCTCTGAGATTGTACTACAGAATCATGGAAAGGAAGTTTGTAGGTAATTAGGCACAAAAATCAAATAGATGATGAACTGACGGATAATAAGGATAGAGATTATCATGTATCAACACAGACATGCATATGAGAATATGCTTTTACCTGGGCAAAATATAAATACATAGGTGTTTCTGATTGATCTCTAAAATCTTCTCATTTTACCCTGTACCTCTAACTTTGACCATTCTAAGCACAAATAAGCTGTGCAGACAAAGCAAGAGAAGGCAAAGATTAGTTAGTCATTTGAAACACAACATAACTGTTCCCCAAGTGTCCAGCCCTTCTATATATTCCCACAATTGCATAAGACCAAGACATGACAGCATGAACATAAATGGGTTCAGTTGCACGGAGATAGCTAAGACTCTCTGGATAGAAAGTCCAACATATGTATTATTACCAGTTCAAAGCAAACAACGAGTTGCAAGGGATGGTCTACGCTGTCTGATTACACTTTGAGCACTAATACTTACTATATCTTTTAATAGTAGTAGTTGTATTAAAAAGTTTTACTCTGTCAATAGATGAAACCACAAGAGGGCACTGAAGCAAAGACTATCTCATTTCTGTTCTTTTCTTAAACACACACAACCGAAGGGACCCTCATAAGGATTTAAGGTGAAAGTTTGTGTGCCTAGGTGACAGAAAGATAAACGTAGGGTTAATCATTTGCCAAATCTCTTCGCTTGTTACAACTACAGAAACTGATGGCTGACTTAAGAATTAACTGCATCAAGTGCCAGTCACTGCACTACCTACTTCTGTGGGTTTTCATGCATGTGGATCCATTTCAGTCTTACTAATTTAATTTTTTTTTTGCCTCCAGAAAAACTCTTGCAATTTATTGCTGTGCTGTTTCCAAGCTGGTGCGTGAGACACCCTCATACCCACAAATACACATCATGCCAAGCGAAATAAAGACATTTGGTCAGATACTGCTGCTTCTTATCTGTTTCTTTGGCATTAGAGAGATGACACCCACAAGGCCCACTAATAGAGCTGTGCCAGTGGAGCACCACAGCTAAGATACTAATCCTGTTACACTGGCATTACTATTTTGCTTAGCTCAATTGCATGTAAGGAACAGAGGGTACAAAATTAAGAGATTAAAAAAAAATACACATTGTCCTCCTCTGGCATGAGCCTGCTGTTTGTTGCTTTCCAACACTGGGCTCTTGCTGGAAAAAAACAGTCCTGTTTTTGTTTTGGTACTGGTGGCTTCCTCTTCCACTTTTGAAGCATACGAAGAAAGTGAGGTACCAGGAAAATGCAAAATATGAAGTTTTCCCCTTTTTTTGACAGCTATCTCCTCTTTCTTCAGCCACAAGTCCAACACAGTTACTGCCTAGACAGCAGAAAAGTCCATAGGAGCTAAATAACCACAAACAACAGTTGCAAGGACAGACTTTGCCTCAAACTTGAATTTGCTCATGCAAAAAATCATCCTGGGAAAATTTAACTGGCAAGCCTCAGAAAAGTGAACATTATAATTTTCACATGCCCAAAATAACCTTATCACCCTCAGTATCACTTTATTGTAATTGCTATTACTACATTTTCAAAAAAAAAATTACTCGCCTTGATAGAGATGCTAAGCATGTAAACTCTTCATCAAGCCAGTTAATATCAGACAAACTAACAGGTAGCTGAAAACAACCTTACAACAAGAACAGTTTTAGACAAATTACTAGTAGACCAATGTATCAGCCCTACCCTAATCAACCCCGTAATTCCAGATAGTTAAGAGAACTTTGTTTCAGACAAACCGAGCCTCACATACATGTCAAAGCCCTCTTCTCAGTGACAGACACTGGACACCTTTAGGGAGCAAATATACTTTAGGGAGTATATACCATGTGAAAGAACTTACTGTGCAAAATATTTAGTTATTTCAATGGTTGAGTGGCTAAAGGCTCTAAACATGGACATTTAAATTAGGCAAACCAAATGTGGAATGATAAGAATATAAACTGGAGAGAGTTGTCTGGGAACCTCCAGCTGCTGCTCAGGGATACACAGGGCATCAGTCAGCAGGTGAGGAGCAATTGTTTTGAGCAACACTTGCTTCTCTTAGGTTTTATTTCCCTCTATTCCCTTTTCATTCCAATTATTATTAGTAGTATTCATTATTATATTATACTTTGTTTCAATCATTAAATTATTCTCATCTCAACCCATGAGTTTTACTATTTTTCCCATTCTCCTCCCCACTGGTAGGCAGGTCAAGGGAATGGAGTGAGCAGCTGAGTGGTACTTAGTTGCCAGCTGGAGATAAACCACACCACTTCCATGTCTCACAGCAAAAAAAAATAAAAAATACCTTAGCTTCCACATAATATCATTCAGAAGACCTAAAGATCTAAGATAGATGAATGGTTTAACCAGTAGCATCAACCACTCTGGAAAACTTTACTGAGCATAGTCTCATGAAGGTTTCACCAGCTGTATATGGGGTAACAGAACAAACATTCTCCATTGAATCTGCCCTGATGACTCCACTACAGTACAGCACATTTTTCCTTCTAAAGGAGAGAGAGTCAGCAGAACACAGGAATTTCTTTAGCAGTGAGAAAAGGCTTAATCTCTAGGAAACCACCAACCTTTTATCTCCTCAAACCTGTTGCTTGTTTACCCTCTATGCACAAATGCAACCATCTTCAAGAAAGGAAGCAGAGTGATGATGAGTTCAGGCCTTCATCAGCTCTGATCTCACTCTTAGACTGGGGGGGCCAAGCAAGCAACAGAGATGAGGTGATAGCGTGCAAATTTTTCATACTGTCTCTCCCAGGTTATAATGGAGGATCTGCTTGCATGTAGATAAATCACAGATACGGCATCAGTAGATGCACTGAAAAATACTTAGCTTTGTGGTTAAGTCATATTTAACTGTGCTATGTTTCTTTTAACATCAAGAAATTTGCAAGTCTCTGATTATCTCTGTACTTCTCAATGTGAAATCACGAAACCACTGTTAAAGCAGCATGGACACTCACAGAGCAGCAGATGTTTTTTTTTCACAGACTCAGTTTTTGGTAGACTATTACAAGGTGACACATTTCCTCTCAGACAGACAGTACTATTTTACTAGAAGCCAGTTTCTGTGGCTCTCTTTTAAACTCAGTTTTCACAGGCACTCCATACCTGGTGGAGTCAAACCCAGAAGTGGAGCTATCTTAGGGCACATGAAGCACCACCAGCATGCAGATGTTCAGTCACACTTTGAGCTCACTCATCCACGCCTGTATATAGACTTGGGATGTGCATCTCTGCTACACGACCCACTAAAATGAAAAGCACATACTTAGACATAGGTGTACAGAGAGTTACATGAGACAACGTGTGCACAGGGGGGTGTGTGTGTACGTGGGCAGACATATGATAAATAATAAATTTTGCCATACTCCATGAAGTCAGACAATTTAGATTTTTTTTTTTTTTTGTCTCAAACAGGTTTGAGAAACCAGGAAGGAATAATTCAGCTGACAACGGAACATGGC